CCCCATTTACTAAAATAACAAATTCAGTTGGTCAGATAAAAATTAAAGAGAAGCAGAAAATTTGGGAAAATGATTAACTTATAACAAAACATACCAAACAAAATCTGAACCATTTTATAACTTTTTCCTTGTCGGCCATATTGCTGACAAGGATGTATATAATCATGTGATAATTTTAACCTACAGGACAGAGGACTGATTGGGCAAAAACCCAATCCAGTCCCCTATCCAAAATCATTAAATTGGTTAAACAGAGAATTTACGAAAATGATTATACAAAACAAACACTATTTTACAACTTTCCTCTTAACATCAGAGTTCCAAATGCAATTTCAGGGCCACCAACCCTGCTCTGAATTGCGACCTCCTGTGCTTGAGCAAGTTGCAGGTTCTCGTTGCTTTGATGGATCTGGATATTTACATGGCATTACAATTCATCAGCAGAGTTGCAGCTTGGTCATAGAGCCACCCTTACCCTAGAGGTGGGACCATTGCAGACAACTTTTCAGCTAGCCTTCTCTGATCTGAGAAGATTAGTGAAAATGTCATTGATGATTGATGTAGTCTCAGTAAACTCCAGGGCCATGCCCCCTCCCCCCTCGAGTTCAGTTGCATCATTGTATCATCAGAGGGAGCAGGTCAGATTAGCCTTATGTACATGAGGAAGATGTGAGAATGACTGTAAAGTGTTCAAGGTAGCATGTGTGCTTCAACATCTGCTAATTTCTGATAATCAAACACTGCATATTCAAAATGTTTCATATTTGAATTGTTTCTTTTTCTATGGTCATACTGTCTTGACATCTTCTTGTAATTATAATAATATTAATAAAATTGATTATGCAAAGCAAAATACCAATTGTTCATTCGTTATCATCTTGATAAAGATCTTATACCACATTTTGATTCCAATTAAAATATTTATAAACTAAAATATATATATATATATATCAATACAAATAAAAAATAGCACCTCTGTCATTAACACATCTTCAGAACCAAATAACAACAACACTCACATTTCCTCATCTTGGACTCTTTCAAAAAATAAATTGTTTTTCCAAAAAAAAAAATCTTTGTGCAACACCAAGTGCCAATAATAATAATATTTTGTTTTACATGTTTTTTTTTAAAAAAATTAAAAAATAATGCCTCAAAAAAACACAAAAAGCAAAGAGATGAAAAGAGACCAAGACAAAAGATACATATGGGTAAGTGTTTATTGTAAGAATGGTGATGGTTATCACCACTCATCGTCAGATCAGCACTTTCTTCCAAGATCCTTCTGGCATAAAGACAACAAAATTTATAGAGAACTTCAGGAATTAAATGACAACTCGGGAATAATAAGTGATGACTCCAAAAAAACATTCCTTCACAATAAGTGAATTGTTAATATTCATTGCTCATGTGATTTAAACTATATACCAATGTATGTATGATTATCTTTTGAATGATATTCTTCAATTTTCTTAGACTGCAATTTTATTTCCTTTTATAATACAAGTAACTCTGATGAATCAACTTCCAAAGGATCGAGTTCTGATGTAAGTTTGTGTTATCCAAAATTCAGGTTTACAAGTAGAAATAAGGAATTAAACTTTTTTCTTGCATTGATACTTTTTAGAAAGTAAGAAGGATCCTCCAAAAATTGACAGATGGTTTTTCGGAAGACTCATGATGCTATCCCGGATACCTCAAAGTTGAAATTGAGCACAGGCAAAATAGTGGAGGATATTCTTTTTAATTTTTCTAAAGACATGGATTATGAACAGTAAGTTTCTAAATTCTTTTATCTTACCATACACAATACTGACAATGGTTTGATTAGCCATACTCATTTGTATATTGTGGATTTTGATGATGAGAATATCAAAGCATTGTTTACTGATTCAGAATGGAAAGAATTAACAAAAGATTGAATTGGGGTTCCAATTATTTCACACAACATTACAAAAGAACTGATGAGATGAAAAAAGTACTTTAGAGGATTTACACATAGTAACAATGACATCATTTCTTCAAGAAGAAAAATACAACATTTGTAAACACTATGATAAAGCAGGGTTGGCAAATGTGCAGTCCATTGATGGTCTATTGGTGGTCCATTGGGTCCATTAGTGTAACACTTTGACCATATTTAGTATTTTATTAATTGCAATGGACCAGTCCAAAATCCATCTGTTCTCAATGGACCAGTCAATTTGCCAACTCTTTGATAAAGAATGGATTCAATTGACCATTCGAACACTTGTAAATCTATATGAAAACATAGATGCTCCTCTAATAAGAATACAATACGAACATTGGTTTACAGTTGCACTTCTTGGAACATGCATTGACTTCTGTCTTAGGGATATTAGATTGGGAACTGATATTAAAATGTTAACTATTTTCTACTAGTATAAACAATAAACCATCATCAACTCATATTTTTAATATAGCTTATAACTGTATACAGGATTGATGCACCATCATCAAGTAGTGCTAACCAGAAGAATAGAAATTGAAAAGTAAATACATGTAAAAGAAAGTCCGTTGGTCATAAAATTGATGGAATAATATATACAACTGATGAGCTTCTCAAATTAGGAGCCATAGAAGGTGCAAGGTCCTTTAAGGGTGTCTCAGACAACAAATATCTTGATGAAGAATTCAAAATGCCAAAGTCTCTTCAAGATATGTATTCTGGTTTGATCAGAGCTGTAAATTATGATGATCAAAGAGCAGACAAACTCCAAGTAATTGGTATATTACACCTTGGATTATGGATTCAATTTGTAAGATTATGGTGTGCCGGAGGATCGATTTGTATTTTTTGCAAAGATCCTCAATCTTTCAACATACATAGCAAATTCTCAAAAAATGGATTAAGATCTTTCTTAAATTTCTAGCAAGGATATATCAATACAAGGTATGAAAAAGATTATTGAAGCTATTTACTTCTCTTTCATATACTAATTATTTTAATAGATTATTATCAAGAATAACCTACAAGTTCTGGATATTCTGAATAATGATGATGATAATGATAATGGTGAATCATATGATTTGTTAAAAGAATTAAATGAACAATGTTCTACTCCACCTCCTACATCAATTCAATTTTTTGCCAATTGTGAGAACACCCCTAAGAAGAAAAGAACTAATTCAAAGGAAAAGAATCCAAGGCAAAAAAAAATCAAATCAAATCATCTGTGACTTAACTACTCTTGTGACAAACCAATCTAAAATGTAATATAATATTTTTTAATAACTAGAAGAAACTTAATATATATAATAAATAAATATCAAGGTAAAGATGGTAACAAAAGTTCAAAATATTATGGTTCAACCCATTGTAAGAAATATTTCTAAAATAACAAGTTAAATTATTTTGTCATTTCATATTCTTTAGTAAGCATCATGATTTTTAATGTTGTGAAATTATTGTTCCCGGTAATTATTT